ATTTATGTTTTTAAGGTAAAGTTCACATAACGTTAAGCCATGTAAAGAATAACAATCCAGTGGCATTTAGTATATCACAATGTCGTGCAACCGTCCCCTCTATCTGGTTCCAAAACGTTTTCAACATCTCCACAAGGAAACCCTGTACCCATTAAAGAGCTGCTCCCCATTCCTCTTCCCCCTTGCCCCTGGCAACCACGAACGAATCTGCTTTTTCACTGTCTGTATTTGCTTATTCTGCATATTTCATACAAATGTAATCATATCATATGTGGTCTTTTGTGACTGGCTTCTTTCACTAGATGTCTCTTTGAGGCTCATCCATGTTGTAGCATGTGTCAGTGCTTTGTTCACTTTTTATGACTGAGTGATATTCCAGTGTATAAATATGCTGCATTTGTTTGTCCATTCATCTACCAGTGGACACTTGGATTGTTTCCTACTTTTGACTATTATGAAATGTGCTTCTATGTACATACACATACAAGTATTTGCTTGATTACCTGTTTTTAACACTTGAGTATATACCTAGGAGTGGAATTGCTGGGTCATAAGGTAATTCTACATTTCACTTTTTGTGGGGGGAAAAACTGTACAAAGTTCTCCAGATGATCCAATGTGAATCTGGTGTTTAGAATCACTAGTATCGAAGATGGACGAGACCAAGAGCATAAATGAAATGCACTATGGAGAAGGTAGAGAGTGGGAATATTGTAGGGTCAAAGGCCAAGCCTTGAAAAAACAACATTTAAAAGCTGCCAGAAAAAGAGCCTATGAGGGAGATGCACGACTAGGGAGAGGTGTCGCAGAAAGAGAGGAGACTCCAAAAGGGAACCACTGCTGAGGTTCCCAGTGATACCAATGCTGAGGAGGAACCAAGAAAGAAATTGGGAGTCTGCCGTGTATGACAAGATGGAAGTTCTTGGAGACTTGGGGCCCTCCAGCTTCACTGAGGACCTGGTTCAAGGAGCAGGGGCTTCCATGAGATGCAAAGAAGTAGGAAAGAGGCAAGTTCTGTACTATACTTTTACTCATTATTTGCTGTTAAAAGGCAAAGACCATGTCTCATCTCTCTTTTCTCCCATGACACTTAGGAACATACAATGCAAGTATCAAGCCCACAGTAAAAATCTTATTGGACCTACCTGTTTATACTTCATCAAATACTGAGTCATTGTTGCTGCCAGAGAGCAATAAACTGCGGGGGAGTACTGACTGGTAACTATTCTGTTGGCTGTATTATGATCTTCTAAGATTTTAACTACATGGAAAATATTTGGGTATAGCAATGTATAATTAGCAAAATTATTTCATTCTAATCTCAGGAAAAATAGTTAACACATTCTTACATTTTTCCTCTTTTTGCTGCCTAAAATATTGTTTTAATTTAAAAGCATTTATCCATTTTTACACATTTGCCAGTCTCTGAATCAACACTGATGGGAGACAATGCTTCATGATTTCACTGAAAAATTATTTTCTGAAATAAACTATTTTCTTTTATGATTAAAGAGTAATGTATACAACCATTACATTTTAAAAATGAAAAGTGAGCGTTATGGTCAGACTTATGTTTGAAGTCACATATTAACTTTAACTGAAGTTTAAATTCTCAGTGAATAGTGAGCACATATGAAGTGCACACGTGCTTTTTTTTTTTTAAGTGTGCGTTAATTTTTTTTTCACTCTTAAGTGTGAGACCAGCCAAGAAATGTCTCCTGGAGCGGTGAAGTGCGCCATCCTGGATTCCTTTTCTCAATTAATGCTTCTATTTTGTAGACAGTAACAGTATTTAATTTGAAATTTCCTCTTTCTGTGCCAATTCCAGTTGGAAGCCCTTCCTGTGAAGGCTTTAAGTGTACAGCTTTATGTGACACACAAAACACTCAGAGCAGCCAAAGGAAGAAGGGGAAAAAGATGTTTTTCTTTAGTATCAAGCACCTGGCAAGAAAAGCAAATTCAGAGCCTGGAAGGCATTCCTGCCTCTCCCCTGAGAGTCCAGACGGACTCGTTTTGATTTCCCTTTGAAAAACCATGAGGTTAGAGCACATTTGCTCTGATTTACAGTTTACCAGACTTTTCTGTGTTGCTTCTTGTTGTTTCTGCTGCTGCTGCGCTTGTTTCTGCTCACTGACAAGTCAGGGTGAGGCCCCTTGACTGACATGGCCGTTGGCAGGGAGAGTGACTTTATCACCACAGCTCCTGGCTCTGGGTGGGACAGTGACAACCTTGAGTGCTGAGGACTCCACAGAAGGCAGGCACCATCTACACAGCAACTTTACAACATAGACACAAAGAGGAAACGATGAGGAAAAACTACCTCCCCTCCACTCTTTCTGCCCTTCCTGCCATTTGCTTGTCTCTGATCTAACCTGCCCAGATGGAATCATGGGAAGAAAACATATGTCAGTTGCTCATACAAGAGGGCTTGTTAGACATGACACCAAAACACAGGGACAAAAGACAAAACAGATTAAGTGGATTTCAAAGTTAAAGTATTTTCTGCTGCAAACATTACTGCCAATAAAGTAAAAACACAACCTACAGAATGGGAGGAAATATTTGTAAATCATATTATCTGATTAGATACTTGGATCCAGAGTACGTAAGGGACTCTTACAACTCAATAATTAAAAAATAATCTGATTTTTGAAATGTACAAAGGACCTGAACTTCTCCAAAGAAAGAAAATGGCTAATAAGCACATGAAAAGATATGCAACATCATTAACCATCAGGGAAATGCAAATCAAAACCTCAGTGAACTTCCACTTCACACTCACTGGGCTAACCAATTAAAAAGATGGATTTTAACAAGTGTTAGCATGGATGAAGAGAAACTGAAACACTCACACATAGCTGGTGGGAACATATAAAAGTGTAGCCACTTTGGGAACCAATATAACAGTTCCTTAAATGGTTAAACAGAGAGTTACAACCTGACCCAGCACTTCCTCTCCAAGGTATATGCCCAAGAGAAATGAAAACATATGTCCACACAAAAATCTGCAATAAATTTTCATAGCAACATTACTCATAATAGTGAAAAGTACAAACAATCCAAAGGTTAATCAAAATGGATAAATAACAGGCGGTATATCCATACAATGGAATATTATTCAGCATAAAAAGGAATGAAGTACTGATACATCCTAAAACCTGAATGAACCTTGAAAACATTATGCTAAGTTAAAGAAATCAGTCAGAGAAAGACCACATCTTCTGTGATTGCATTTATACAAAGTCATAAATAGGCAACTCTATAGAGATGAGAAAGCAGATCAGTGGTTGGTTGTTCAGTAGTTGGGGGATGGGTGTTGGAGAATGGAGGAGTATGAGGATGGACTAATAATGGATAAGAGGGTTTTTTCTTGGGGTGATTAAAATATTCCAAATTCCAATATTCCAAAATTGGTTGTAGTGATAGTTACAAAACTCTGAATATACTAAAAGCTATTGAATGATGCACTTTGGGTGAATTGTTTGGTATGTGAATTGTATCTCAAGAAGTTGTTTAAAAAGAGGGAGGGAGGCCATCATAAAACCAGGAGAACAGTATTTCATTTCCAGATGCTCTGGTCAGCCCTCACCGTCCTGGGTCCCTCATGGCTGCACACATTTCCTGACTTAAAGGGAACACAGAGTTCTCATTCATTGTCTCAGACACATTTGAATTTGTTCCTCACCCCTGCACATCCTACAACCACGGGCACAAAAGCAATTCCTTTCCATCCTGGAGGCTCCCCAGTCAACCGCTCCAGCTCTCCTGGGGCTTTGGGGGACATGTTCAAAATTAAGAAAAGGGATCAGGACAGAAGAGTAAAATGATAGAGAACTATCATTATGTGAACAGACAGTTCAGGTTTCTGGGTGGGGGGCATATTCATGGGGAAATGAGAACAGATTCTTTGGTCTCATGTAGGAACCAGTGGTGGGTTGGGGTCGGTGAGGAGACGGGAGAGATAACCGTCTTGAAGTCAGGCAGTGTCATGAGATGTGGGGGCAGAAAGAAAAGGGGGCATGGCCCATGATGTCTTTGGGGTCTTCTAAGGCAGAAACAGCAAGGCCATCTTGTCAATGTGGCAACTGGTTATTCTAAAGTGACCTTGCATCAACCCACCAAGGCACGCTTAAAAGGTTAATGCAGGGAGGAAGTTAAAAGCATTCTGATAACCAGCTTCTGAGAAAATATCATAGAAAACAATGTTTAATAAAGTACAAAAAGTGTGTAACCATAATGTACAAGAGCAGGCACAAATTAGATTAATAATCCAATAATTTTCAGAGGGCATTTAACCCCATACCAGGTACTGTTTAAGCACAGTGCTTTCAAAAATCAAAAGCTCTCCTCTCACCTTTCAAGTTGTTTACTAAAACTTTGGGGTGGTGCCACTCAGCTCTCTAGCAGCTTCTTTATAATTCTGTCTGACTTTCAAATCTCTGTCAGAACTGTGCCTTGCATAGCCAGTAGTCAACAGGATGTAACAACACCTACCATAAAAACCTTCCCAGATTTCATGAAAAGCCAACAAAGCCTTCTGGTTGGATTGTAACACAAAAAATTGGCATAGCAGGGATCCAACCAATGCTCCTTGTTGGTTGAAAAGAAAAACCTACTGTACATCAGAAAAAAGGCACCAAAATCCCACAGGTCTTGGTAAGTTAAGCTCAGCCATCCGGAATCAAGGAACCAAATAGGTAGTAGGATCCGCCTACCTTCCCACACTGGCTTGAGTCAGAGTTTTTCCAGTTTATCCCCCAGTGTGTCTATGACTGGAGGCTCTGGTTCTTCTGTTATCTTCTCAGAAGACAATAAACAAAAATGTAAACACCACTAACTGCCTTCCACAAAATCTGTAAATGGACAGTGAAAGTCCAATTTTTGTTCTGCCTTTTTTATGCATCTGTACCCCTAGAATTCCCATGCATCAATCTCTTTACTATAAACACAGGACACAAGCACATCAGAATATGAGTCTCACACAGCCAGGGCAGGCCTACCTGCAGCATATGACCGCTTTGCAGGAGAGCGCCAAGTCTAGGAAGCTCCTCCTCACTTCAAAGGAGAGCGCATACTTGAGGGTGTGGCCATCGATGATGAGGGCCATGTCGTTCTCCTTGCCCAACAAATTTCCAAGGTCTGTGCAGTGCTGAGTAATGGCTGCCCTTGTTGCCTGAAACAAAATTGGGGGTAGTCACATTTTTGTGTGTTTAATGTATCAAAATCAAAACAGAAATCAAAAGTAAGTTCCTGGAAGTGAGAACATGCCCATTCCAATATAAAATATATGTAATATAATATATGTAATATATATATATAATGTAAACAGACTTCAACTTGGTATATTTATATATTAAAATTTCATTGGACTGCTTGCTAGGTCTGTTTCATTAAAGAAAATCTTCCCATAGTGATAGTTGTGTTTGATATTTAAAATAACCATCCTGGTTGCAGCTATAGCTGATCTAGAGCATTCATGTTCTTTTCCATGGGAACTTTAATTGCTAAGGTCCTTACCACCGTCTTTCTCTTCCCTCCTTTATACTATTGTAATACATACATATTCTTCTTGATGCCCCTAGATACTCCATATAAACAAATGAGCTCTTGGGGGAAATAAACGTTGCTGGTTTAAATGGCAAATGTTTCTCAGTTTGCACAAGGTGACCTTTAAAGCATCCAAGAGATATTAATGTATATAAAAATAATATGAAAGATTAATTTATAGTCTCTGCTGAGATCTTCAGAATAAACCGTTTCTCTCTTTGGATCATCAGAGTATGAAAAAAACTGATTATTTTGTCAGTTACAGAAAGTATCTAATCAAATTAAACTACCAATACCTTTTAAACATTACTACCAGCCTAAATAAGTGCCTTGGTGTGGCATCTATTATCAGATGAAATTAAAGCATAGAACCATTCTTACGGTTTTTAAAAAATGATGTTCTGATCTTCCCAGTGAATTTCTGACTATGAATAGGATATCTGGTTCAAATATAAAAATGTAATTTTTGGCTTATAATAAAAAATCTGGTTTAAGTTAATCAGGGAAGCACTACCGTCTGCTGAAATTATTGTGTCTGGACAACTACCCTTTGACTACTAAGTTACATTTACATGTAATTTATCATATAATAACATAAATTACAGTCAAAGAAATAAGCTGAATGAAGAAGAATCCTTCTCCCCCTTATTAAATTGAGGATCAGCTACCATCACAAAGTAAGAAACAGACTGTATTATCTTTCTGCTCAGTTTTCATTCTCAGCAAGAGACACTTGGCAATATCAGAAAGATGTATTTAAGGCATGACTGTGTCTACAGTCATTGTTCTGTGGTCGGATAGCCTGGGGTCTAGGCCCAACTCTCTACCTATTACCTCTGTGACCTTCGGAAAAATATTTAATCGCTTTAAATTACAATTTTCTCATATAAAAGGTGGAGCTAAGAATATTTATTTGGTAGTCCTTTTATTGTGAACGAATGAGTTCTACAATGTAACCTACATAACACTGGGCTTGGCACATAGTACACACTCAATAAAACTCATTCTTTCCCCACTAGTATTTATTCATTAAGGATTTCCTATATCAAGGGTACGTCATTGACAAATCCTTATTTGTTGATGTAATAATAGAATAATTGCTAGAATAGTGCTCTGGGAATAAAAGTTAAGTTGACTGCTACTAAAAATAAAAATAAGAAAACTTTCTACTTCTTAATTAGTTGAGTAATTCTGAATCTCAAGCAAAACATCTATGTTGACCTTATCTGTGCCAATAGCCTGACCTTTAGAATTTGTGTAAAGAGAAGAAACTCCACCCATCAGAGAAATCCCAGATTGACAGCTGGTGTGTGTCCACCAGGGAACTCAGACAGGTCTGGGCAGTTCTGGAGGGTGTGCCTGCCAGGGGTCAATGTGTGGCAGAGAGAAAACCCTCCTGGGATATAGAGATGAGTCAAGGTACACAGCTTCGGTCCACGGACAATGGTCAATGCTGTCATGGGGGCAGAGTCTAGCCCAGTGGCCTTTACTCCTATCAGCCTCCCCCACCTACTTTTGAAGGAAAAGGCTGAAGAATAAAAATCTGAGATGTAGTGGCCATTGTCTGTGGCTTTTTAAAAAGGGGGGCATAGTACCCACAGAGCTACGTAGAGACAGTAATATTATGAAGGGTACTTTCTCTACTCGGATTACTTCTGGAGCACGCCTAAGGACACGCTGGACACCAATGGCATGTCTTCCCCAGCTGGAGGAGGAGTGGGGAGGCCCCAAGTTTTGGCAGCTGAGCCTTTGTCATTGTGTAAGCCTCTGGGGCATGAGCAGGGAGGGTGCCACCAAAACGAACCTGAGCACTAGGTACACAAATGGCAGAAACGTGGTAACAGAAAACTATGTTCTCATGACATTCGTCATCTCCTCCTGCCCCCAAAATAATTATAGGGGAAGGACCTGAAAGGAAGCAGGTGTTTTAATGGTGGCAGGTGGGGACAGAGAGGATGTGCGCCCTGTGCACATCGAAGCCTGGCAGGCGTACGTTCCAGAGAGGCTCTCTTCCTGAGAACCTCCTAGTGCGGCGCAGCCCACCAGGACCTGGGAAACAGGTGACGCCGAGTTGAAATGCTTTCAAGATGAACCATGAAAAATACTACAGACTGCATGTTTGTATCCCTTCCAAAACTTATATTGAAAGCCCAAACCGCAGTGTGATGGTATCTGGAGGCGGGAGTCTTTGGGAGGTGATTTCTTCACGAGGGTGGAGCCCTCACTATCCAATTGTTGCCCTTATAGGAAAGATAGGAGAGCTTCTTCCCTCTCTTCCTTCCCCAACTCTACTTCTATCTCCCCCTCCAAACACACGAGGACATGAGTCAAACTCATTATAGTCGGCCAACCAAGATATAGTTATCAGGTATCAGAGTACCTACTATGTTCCCATGGTGATAAAAAAAAGAAAAAAACAAACAATAAATATTCCAATACCAAGAATACATACATGTTCTATGTTATCTACCTCCATAAATATTATAATACACACAATTAAGAATGAAATAATGAAAACCTAATATTCTGCTTATGGGTAACACCACCATCATATCCTAGCCTGCTTTGGCTCATTTTTAGTGGTTGGCTATTACACTAAATTGTAAATTCCATGAAGGCAGAAAACCCCTTGGCCTCTAATCATTCTAACCCATAGTAGTAGGTGCACAATTAATACGTTGACTTTGTAAATGAACTGACATGTCTAAGTTATGATTTTAAACATGCATTAGAAATATCTCTAAGAGATCATTTATGGGTCTCGGAGGTATGTATTTGACCTCCCGGTACACTTTACATTACAATTTCCTTAAAAATATTTGGCTCTTGGTCTTTCTTACTCTTTGTCTCCTGGTCTTTTTGTTTTCAACTTTCCCTGCTTTTAATCTCCCTTCTCACCAATTTTCCATCTTGTTCTTCCCTTACTTTATCTGCTCAGAATCACACCTTTGTCTTTTAGACTGAAAACCTTTCCTACTGCTAAAATCCTCCAGACCCATCCTTCTAACATCTTGTCTCCAGCCTCTACTTTGGTTTTAATTCCTTTCCTTCAATGCCCACTCAGCAATAATCTTTGATCAAACCCAGACTAGCTGGGTTCACCACACACGTGTGGCAGAATATAGGTCCCTTCTGTGCAGTTCTCAAGCAGGCCAATTGAAGGTATTACTATCACAAACAGTTCCTTATTCTCAAATGGACTATGATTCAAAAGTCTATTTGTAAGTTAGTTATTGGGCACTTAGAATCCATTTTCCCAAAGGAACGATGTTACAAATTGCGGTTGGATCCCAGAGCTTGTTAATGCCTATTTAGCTTAGTCGCTAAAATTATACTGCAGTCTCTTATTTTAATAAAAAACCAATTACTAAAAGTTACAATAGACTTAGCTGTTATGAGGGGCACAGGGAGCTGGGGCTGGGGGTTTCATTTCCAGAAGATACGAAAGATTCCAAAATCTTTCACTACAATTTGCCTTTTAGGCACAATATTTAAATATACATTTCCAGCTTTTCATGCATGTTCTACAGTTTTACTTTCCTTCACAATTAAAAGCACACATTATTTAATGCCAAAAGTGAGCAACTGTGGCTACAGGCTGACCACTTAGCCATGCCAACAGCTCACCTTTATCTCACTGGTACTATACTGTGAACCCACGTTTATCATCATTAAGGTTAGCACTTGCCTTTGCATTTTCCATTTTTCAAATACAATTATCTAAGCATCATACACAGTGCTATCTTGTGATCTCAGGAAATGGTTGTCCATCTGCTGATTAAGAGATCAGAGGTTCATGTGATGGGCCCTGAAGTAAAGGTGAAGAGCAACCTGCTCAACTTATGAGCAGATGGGATCTGAAAGGTGGTTGGTTCTGTTAATCACTTTTTGGGTTTAAGAAACAAACCAGGAAAAATAACCATTTCTGGAACCTGGATGCACTTACTTCTATCCAGATGTAAATAGCAGGAATTTTTCCTCAAAATTAAATAGTTGCAGCAACATTGAAATTTGCCAAGGCAGGTAACCCTCTCCCCTTCGGTGAGCTTGGCAGTGTCATAAGGAATTTCTTAGATGCCATGGTGGCAGCTGCTGCCTCAGCCCTCACTTTGATATTCTGTAAATTCCAATGGGCTCAGAACTGATGATGCTAAAAACCAGGATGGTTCGAGTTTCAGGAGCAGCAATTCAACCAAATCATGCTTAGCCTTCAAGTTTAAGAGCAAACTTCCTTATCCTGAATTAACCTTGGACTAGCGAATATCTAGTGGTAATGCTCATCCCCAAGACCTCGTACTGGGTTCAGAATGTTTTTGTTTTTTCCATTTCATTCACCTACTTTTCCTGTTCCTTGACAACCATCCAATGCACCCTTCTCACCACCGCACTCTCCCATTCTTCAGGTCATTCCCACTGCCCAGCATCTCGTACCAGGTACGGCTGCATTCACCATATTCCCGCCTCTTTCATTTTCTTCCCTTACCATTGTCATTTCCCATATAATCACACCTCTTTATTGACAGCATTAAGACTCTCAAAACGTTTGCATTTATGAAACTTAATGGGTGTAAAAGTTTGTGAAACTTAAGACAAAGCAAAAATCCAGCAAACCCATTATAGGCTAAT